GTTATGACATCATAAAGTGGCCAAAATCTGATCAGCTCATTTTCAGACAGGTTTTTAATATAAATGGATCAGGACAAAAAGAGAGGGGGTCTTTTTTCCTGAAACTTTCAGAATCTCTTTACAACGTGGGCCACATGTTTAAGTAAAAAAGACGTGAAAAAGTGGATTTTGCATAATAAGTGACCTTTAAAGCTACTCAGCAGTTCAAACTGCCTTACCAGCTGCAACATAAAGATAATGTACACATTATTGCACCACGAATTGTAATCCAATTGTACACAATCATTTTGAGATGGACAGGACTTCAACTTGCCACAGTATTTTTGCACTATTACTTCGAATCTGTAATCGGTTTTGGACCGTATTAAAGACATAATCAATAATCGACATTTTCAGTCGTTGTGCTCTTTAGCTGTTCTGGGCCTCTTCGCTCTCCGTAGTGAGTGACCTGATTGGCTGGTTGTTTGTTGACATCCAATCACACCACGTTTCTGCTCCTACACATAGGCTAAAGTATCTCATTGGAATCGGACGATGGGCTGCTTCGTTTAGAGATTATTCACACCTGGTTTAAACTTTATTACGGTCCTGTCTTCGCTTACAGACGCTGCTAGCTCCGGGCAGACATGGAGAGAGTTGTCCTCATAACCGGCGCGAACAGGTAGGTCACTAAAACAGCATTATAACGATGAAGAGACACTCGGTATTTAACATTGCTACAGATTGACACCTGCACGAGCTGAAAGCGTCACTGAGGGAGAAGTGCTTCTAAAATGGGATAAACTGAATGAACGTACCGATGTTTTACAACTGTTATAACAATGCTAGTTAGTTCAATCTTCTTTTATCCACAATGTTATTGTAAGTGCATCCATCACGTACACGTACAGATAACATTAGGGGAATTACAAAAAAAAAGCTAACAGCAACCCATAGCCTACAACAAAATAAGATTGTAAAAGTACCTATACTACTATACTTATGTACCATAAGGAACATCATTATAATGAGGAAGAACCTACATTATTTATAATGTTATTAGATTTATTTTAATGCACAGGTCTGTGATTCTTTAATAATAATATGGGACTTGGGTTAGGGTTAACCCTTGTCTATATTTGTAACATACATTTATGCACCAGTTATGCATAAAATGCTAATTCAATTTTAAAGATATATCCACAGAAGGCTTTTTTTTTCAAATGCATTTAAATATATATGTAAATATGTATTTTAAATATTAAATAAAACTTGCACAGAAAATACATCCAAGATACACAAAATCATACACAAATGAGAAAATACTGGTGTATCTACGGCGGCAGTACTATCTGTGATTTATTACCTCCATCAAAAACATTAAAACTGTGTTACTTTCTCAATACACTCGTACAGAGTAGGTCTATTATAGGTTCTTACTATCAACATGCATTGTAAACATTTTAATTTAGATTTGTTAGAATTTGCGACAACAACCTGTTTCTGTATCTGCCTTTAATATTTATTTCTTCTACAACTGTAATAACAAGTCTTCTATGTTTACCACTTGTTTCACTTCCAAAGTCTGTAGGATGAGAGTCCTTAGGGGTGTTTGTTTCCACCCTAATGTTTGTCTGCCTCCTCTCACTTTGTCCAGCGGCATCGGCCTGGCCCTGTGTGAGCGGCTGCTGACAGAGGACAGCCAGCTGCGGCTGTGTCTGGCCTGCAGGAACATGCAGCGGGCGGAGGCTGCCCGCTCCGCCCTGCTGACCTCTCACTCCAACGCACATGTGGACCTCCTGCAGCTGGACGTGGGCTCTGTCCAATCTGTGCTCAGCGCTGCTCAGGAGGTCAAGGCCAGGTACTGACACAGTGATGTCATGGCACTGTTGATATACCTTCACTCACCTGAATAGTGAACTGAGGTTGACCTTTGTGTTTATCTGCAGATACAACAGAATTGACTTCCTGTATCTAAATGCAGGAATCATGCCCAATCCACAACTGGATTTGAATGCTTTTTTCAAGGGTCTGTTCTCCAGGTTAGTCCCAAAATCCAGTTCCTAATTTACTTTAATTTGCATCCTATAATATTTGTAAGTGGGTTTGTATGAGGAATGTAGCACGAAGGCAGTTTGGAGATGAAGACAGGAGTACCAAGATTCAAATATGTTATTGTCATATGCACAATAGCTACAGAGTAGATTAGCAACGGAAATCTTAGGCTGCAGTCGAATAGTCCATTTAGCTTAGGAACCTTCCTAACCGAGTGAAATGACCCGGAAGTCCCTCAGTGGCAGCCATGATAAGTGCCGTTCGAAAACTCTAGATGATAGGAAAGGAGGTTTCAAACTTCCTTTATAACCTCCTTTAGCTTAGGAACCACTGGACCTCCCTTACCGAAAGGAGAGGAGAAAATGCTGCCCCACAATGCCTTGCAGCCGCAGCATTTACCGTCACACAACAGTCGGCCGTTCACAGAAACAAACGATTATGACGGAGAAATTATATCATGAAAGTTACGGTGCTTATTAAGCATTTTAAAACGTATGTGGTAAGTTGCCAAAGTGCTTTGTTTTGAACGTTCATCAGTATTATAATCAAAAAGAGAAATATGAACGTTAGTTTTTACTGAAATGATCAAATAAAGTCAACATTTCACTGAGCTGTGTGGGGTTTGTTCAACTTTTAAAAGATGTTTGAATGGTGATATACACAGTGATAGATGTTAAGGACTAACGTTTATAATAAATACCAAGGCACACAGGGGATAGGATCTTTTCCTAGTTCATACAATCATACGTATTGGATCATTTGATTAATTGGCCGAGGGATGAAGGGTGGTGAGCATAAGTTTCCACTTTTCATTTTTATTTAAATTCCAACTTTG